ATCACATTCCAGCAGTCGGTTAAAAGTCAATCCTCCAAAACCTAAGGGTCCGAGGTGCGATGCCAAAACCACTGATGAAAAGTTCAAAATGGTCAAGCCTCTGAACCTGAGGGTACGATGTACGATATGAAGAAAACCACTGATGAAAAGTTCAAAATGGTCAAGCCTCTGAACCTGAGGGTACGATGTACGATATGAAGAACAGCTACGGACTTAGGATTTTAGCCTTTTAACGTTTTTAGGTTAAGGGTGCGATGTTAAAAATCCAGAGTTGGTGCAATGCATTGAACATTAGACAGAGATTCAAATTCAAGCTTGCAATTATTTTAATTGAAGGCGCGACCTCAAAGGTAAGAGGTGCGAGGTGGCATTGGCTGCAGTTCAAAGAAAAAGCAAAGGAAGGAAAGATGTTGCCAACACCAAAGTAAAAACGAACAAAGCTTCTTCATTAAATGGAAAGCAGAGCCAAGGCTTATAGACCTTGTAGCTCTGCCCTGACACTTACAAACAAAAAACAAAAGAGAAGAGAAGAAAGACAGAGAAAGGCCTCATGAGGGATGATCGCCTAAAGAGCCTGCCTGAGGAGCGCCCTCCTGAGTGGTGCCGACCTGGTCCTCTTCGAGATCGGAGTAGTCAGAATCCAGATCTCTGACATACTTATCCACCAACGCTTGGGGGCCAGGGGTGCCGCCAGGCCCAGACGCCCACTGCTCGGCATACTTCTTCTTCAGACCACTGAGATCGATCTGAAGGTCAGGCATGTCGGAGGCAATGCCCTTCATGAGAAACTTGAAGCCCGCGTTAGAGAAGTCTTTGGCAAATCCATCGAAGTCAGGATGTTGCCTAAACGATTCCTCCAATAGGATCCCATTGCTGAGACGCTCCTTCACCGTCTCCAACTCGGCAGTCGCACGCTTCAGCTCCTCCTCCTTCGCTTCAAGCGCCTGGAGCATCTCGTCCTTCTCCTTGAGGAGTTGGAACTTCTCCTTCTCCAAGCCCCTGGTGATAGCATGAGCAGCTCGGAGCTGAGCCTTGCGTCTGTCCTCTTCCTTCTTCAGCAGCTCGGCCTTGGTCTCCACCTCGGCCTTCAAATTTTCCACCTCAGAGTGAGCCTTCAGTAGCTCATCCTTCATGGTGGAGGAAGCAGCCTCCAAGGCAGCAGAGAACTCCTCTTTCTCCCTCACTGCCAGAGCTTCCCTCCCATCCAGCTCGGCCTTTACAGCCAGAGCCGATTGAATGGAAGCAACAAACGCCTGAGAAAAGGTACAAAGAAGAGAATTAGACCGAGCTACCAGTTAGGTAAATTAAGCAAAAATGGAGACACTAGTCTTACCTCAGCAGCGTAGTCGGTGGTTCTCTGCAGAACGGACCCTGGGTCGCTCACAAATTTGGACGCCCTCCTTAGGCAGCGGTCCAAACTTGCGGCCGAGATGCGGGACA